AGAGGCAGAGAGGAGGCCAGGGCCATTTGGGAGTTACAGTATGTGCTGCCTCTGGAGCCTCCAGAGTCGGACATCAGCGAGGCAGAGGAACAGGGAGAGCCTGTTCCCAGTGTGTGCATGTGCAGAGCTGCCAGAAGGCATAAACAGTTAAGACAAAAGGGGTGACTCAGGAGTAAGGCTTGGAAATGATTGGCCCTCCCACAGAAACTTTGGTCATTCTGGTCAGTTTAAATTCTGCTACTTTTTTACCCTTTGCTCCATGTGGTCATGCAAGCATATTGCCAATTATGTCTTTGGCAGGGTTTCAAGGGTGATAAAGGTGGGTACTTATCAGCCTTATCCTGAAAGACTTTGGCAGACTTCTGTCGGACACTTTACAAACTATTTGTGACTCATTAAGGGCTGTGAATGAACATAATTCAGTTGAAATAAAAAGAGGGCTTTTGGGACTAAGTGTGTGCTTTTTGCTGTTATCAGGAAGACTAGGTTAGAACAAGCAGTCACTAAATGAACTGTTGTAAGTCGAGGACTACCTGTATATAATCAGACTTACAGATATTCTCTTTTGCTCCCCCTTTTATTAATCAGGCACAAGAAAAGCGAATAGTGGACCAAAAAAGGGGCGGTGGGGGAGCTGAGAAAAGGCTATACGGGCTCCGGCTACTTGATGCTGCCCAATACCTTGATGAAAAGAGATTACGTACCAACGCTTCTTTTGCTAGGATCAAGGAACTCCAATGCAAAAGTCTTCCCAAATCCAGGGACTTTGATATCGACCCCATCTGGGGGAGCTGTAGCACCACTAGTTCGATTGTACACTAGCCTGGAGAGAAAAATCAGCAATTAATTCAAACAGGAACAGAATCGTATCTGATCATGCACTGTAGCCTCTTTTCATCCTCCCTGCCAATCTTTCTGGAAGTTTATTAGCTGGTAGCCATCAGCATGGACTTTATGGACCTACTGTTCTGGCTCTAAGTTATTAAAAAGGGGGGTGGAGCCTGTTCGATTTCTAGTGATCAAAACACAATACATTGAATTTTGTAGAAAAGAACGTAGCCAACTCATAAGGTTCTAGTGGGGTGCTTTGTTCTGAGCTGAAAATAAATTGTTTGAAATTAACCATATTCTATTTAGTATTTACACATGGTAGCTATCAGGTAAACAAAATGTTCATTTTAAATGGAATTCGGTGAACTCATTTCTTCAATATCGGTTTTAAACATTAGCCTGATTTTATTTTTGCTACATTCCACTTAAGAGTTGGGACGTTGTCAATCAGCTTTGAGTAGAGTAGTTTAATGAACTTCTTCTGGAAGACTTAATATAGTCTAAGAAATGTATTCACTTAACACTGCGAGCCCTAAAAATAAAATTTAATTGTTACAAAATGATCCTGGGAATTACACTGTTAGTTCACCTTTCTCAATTGAAGGTACTGGGCTACAGCTGTCAGAATTCCTAATCACCATGGGTCAACAGGCAGTAGAAATAAAAATTCTGGGAATTACTATTCCAACACATTAGTTAATTAAGCAAACTAATTAGGTTAAACTTAATTGCCAGGTCATTTTTCTCAGCCAGTGTTCTCCACTCCTTTATAATCAAAGTCAATAGAAAACATGGATGACCTATCAATCCTGAAATCTCACCATTTTAACAGTTTCACTTACCGTATTTTTCGGAGTATAAGATGCACCGGAGTATAAGACGCACCAAGGTTTTGAAGAGGCAAATTAAAAAAAGTTTTTGCACTCTGCAAACCTCCCAAAAATGACCTATTTTTCATCAAACTGGCATGAATAGACTTTAGGATGCTTGTAGAGCGTTCCTGGAAGTGGGGGGCAAACATGAGCAAAAAATGGCCCTTTTTCACAAAAAAAAAAGGATATGGATAACCTTTAGAAGGCTTATAGAATGCTCCTGGGGGCTGGGGGGGGCAAATTGAGCAAAAAATGGCTCCAGGAGCACTCTGAAAGCCTCCTAAAGGCTATGCATGGCCGTTTTGGTGAAGGGGGTGGGGTTTCAGGAGGCAAAAAATGCTGTATTCAGTGTATGAGAACGCACCAAAAATTTTCAGACTTTTTTTTTGAGGGAAAAAGATTCATCTTATACTCCAAAAATACAGTAATTTGTCTCCTTCTCCTGCAATTGGTGTAATTAATGGCTGCACTTAGCCATTCTGACCAGTAAATGAACAAAGGTCTTTGCCAGAGTTAATCAATCTCTGCCAAGAGATTGATTAACTTGCTTCTACTTTCAGGCTTGGGGAAACAGGATGGGACTACATGATCTGTACTGTTTGTTCTTTTTAAAGAACAAGTTCATGTGACAGCTAAATTGATCATTATCTCGCAGCTAACATGCAAAAAAGATGCATAACAGATGCTTAAACAGCACAGTGCAAGACTGTTTTATCCACGTCAAGTCACAAACTTTAAACCTTAAGGCTTCCTATGTCACAGTGCCACAGCCTTTTGGAGTACCATTCTCCCAAAATATTCATAAAGGCCCTCATTTAAATGAGCCTTAAACATTGGCTCCATCTCCAGCCCCTGAATTGGGGGTGATGGTTTTCTTAGTATGGTTTTCTCCAAACCCCAGGTCCCGAATTACTGTGGGTCGTAGAATCCCTGGTATGGTTTTCTGGTCAATGAGTGCTTGTTTTCTAGACTTTTGGATGATTTAACTAGGTTATGTAATATTGCTGTGTGGGGTCCTTAGTGGTCTCAGAGCTTGGTTGTTTTCTTGCAGGTGTTTCACTACCAAACTAGGTAATATCATCAGTGCTGCAATATTGCTGTACTTGGCAAGCCCACCCCATCCCAGACTCGTAATCAATCAGGGCAGCCTGTAAATTCCATAAATAAATCCAGGTAATGGTTGCAGAACAGGGTTTTTTTTCTCTTAATTCGTGATTATTCTAAATTTCTAGCCAGTTTTTTCACACACATATACACCAGAGATGGTATTCAGCAGGTTCTGCCCAGTTCTGGAGAACCAGTAGCGGAAAATTTGAGTAGTTCGGAGAACCGGTAAATACTACCTCTGGCTGGCCCTGCCCCCATCTATTCTCTGCCTCCCGAGTCTCAGTTGATTGGGACGGAATGGGGATTTTGCAGTATCCTTCTACTGCCATGCCCACCAAGCCACACCCACAGAACTGGTAGTACAAAAATTTGAATCCCACCGCTGACACACACACACACACACACACCTCCCGGTATCTGACTGAATTATACAAACAACAGTGTGGCCCACCTGATATTATCTATCCAGCAGTCAATGATAACTGGAAGCAACAATTCTAAATTCAGCCACAATGTAAAATAACTGTCTGTCTTCTTAGAGCAGAGATAATGCACCACGGCTGGTTTGTCCAACTTGGCTTCTAGCTGGTTTCCCAAATCTCCTGGCACTGTAATTATACAAGACAGGAAGACTTACATGACATTTTTTTTCTGTAAATTTATCCAAGACTTTTTTTCTCTCAAACATTGTCTTGGGTGCTTGGAAACACATTGGTTTTTTTTTTTAACTACGTGAAACTCTTTCTGGTCTCCATGGGCACTGTAGAATTGTAGGTGACTTCTCAGAAAGCAAGTAAGTGAAGTGGATTCCCAGCAATACAGGTAGTCCTTAACTTATGACAGTTCATTTAGTGACCATTCAAAGTTATGACGTGACATGACCTTTGTGACTGTTATGAACACTGCAGCATCCCCATGGTCACATGATCAAAATTTGGACACTTGGCAAATAATATAGGGTCTCCTGCTTGAGCAGGGGGGTGGACTAGAAGACCTCCAAGGCCCCTTCCAGCTCTATTCTGAATGATGGATTGAATCACTGCAGTTAAGTTAATGCCCATTTTTCATACCTATAACCATTGCAGCCACCCCGTGGTCATGTGATCAAAATTCAGGCACTTGGCAACTGACTGGCCATGATCCCCTTTTGTGACTTCCTTACAAGCAAAGTCAATAGGGAAGGTTTTTAAGTGGCTTTGCTTCTTACAAGCAAAGTGCTACTCGCTTAACCACTGCAATGATTCACTTAACCACTATGGCAAGAAAGGTCGTACAACGGGGCCAAAATTAACTTCACGAAAGTTTTATTTAGAAGCAAAAAATTTGGGGCTCCAATTGTGGGTCATTAAGTCGAAGGTTACCCGTATCCCCAGGACAGCGTTTCTCAACCCTCACCCCTTTAAGAAGCCTGGACTTCAACTCCCAGAATTCCCCAGCCAGATTTAGAATCCCAGTTCAGCATTTTTCTCCCCTTCTTGATCAGGTGGCACACTTAACAAGCAAAAACTGGACCAGCAATAGCCTTCCCATGTTTGTTTCCTAAGCACGTCTGTGGGTTTTATTGGGCTCAAAGGTTTCCGGTTAGGCAAATGGATCCCGTTTTATTTGAACGAAAGAGATCACATCCTCTGCTTTTGGCCAAACAGTTTCATTAGGATTTTAACAAATGTCTAACGGAGTTTCCTAAATGGCTCATCTCCTTTCTAAAATGAAAGGGGTTTTTCCCCCCTTAGTGAGCAATGGCCTCACAATAAATTTCCCACAAAGAGAATAAAGACAGTCATTTCCTAAGCATCCTTTTGGTAGCTCTTTGCAGGCAAATATGTCCCTCGACGAAACACAAAAAGTATATTTCCAGAATACTCTGTGGTCACGTGACCAGAATTTGGCGCACTTAGTAATAGGAATCTTTTTATTTTGTTGGATAAAAATCAATAGTTTTTTTTAAGAAAAAATCCAAAAAGTTGACATTTTTTCTTTAAATTGATTTTTTCTTTAAATTGATTTTTTAAAATTTAAATCAGATTTTTTTTCATTTAAATCAGATTTAAAAAAAATAATCAAATTTATTTTAATAAAATGCTTTTGGAGTAAAAATCTATCTAAAGATAGTTTTCTATTTAAGATGCATTAATAATTTAGTTCATTCAGCATAAAATGGAGGTTAGCTATATTACAGGGCTGTATATTTCACAATATTGGGACTGTTGGTGAGTTAAAAGCGGGTCAGAGGAGGAGCCCTTGCGGTACAGAGGTGGCAGCTTCTCCTTAAAAATTATGATTTAAATCAACTTGATTTAAATCAAGCCTTTTTATGAGATTTAAATCGAGATTTAAAACAACTTGATTTAAACGAAATCCGCCCTGTTTGCAGTGTTTCAGAATTAAATGATCGCCATTGGTGACTGTCCCACCGGGCTTCAGACAAGCAATCGGGGGGGGGGGGGGGGGGGGCGAGGGCGGAGAGGGCAGCAGAGGACCCCCCCCCCGATACTGAAATCCTCTATGTCTGTTGCCAAGCACCCAGATTCTGGTCACATGCAACGGTCATAAGAGGTTTGGCCGCAAATCTTTTTTTCCAATGCTATTGTAACTTCAAATGGCCACTGAATGGGTTGTCAAGTTTTCTACCTATACAGCATCATATTGCAGATACTATGTGGCTGTGTTTAAAACTCTCTCTTGTCGGTTAAGTCAAGTTTTCTACCTATACAGCATCATATTGCAGATACTATGTGGCTGTGTTTAAAACTCTCTCTTGTCGGTTAAGTCAAGTTTTCTACCTATACAGCATCATATTGCAGATACTATGTGGCTGTGTTTAAAACTCTTTCTTGTCGGTATGTACAA